TTCTCTATACTATCCATATACAGTATTATCGTATCGGTATATATGCATTTTACACACGTGATGCATACCATACTGATCCGGTTATCCGATCCGGTTATCCATACCATACTGATATTCGCATTACCCAGTAGTATGTGTTATCCATACTATGACATTTGATCACCATACCATACACATCCGGTTATCCATACCATTCTGATATTCTATATAACGATAACCCATACTACTAGTAGGGTATATCATAACGATAAACTGTACTAACTTATATTCCGAACTCAATCCATACCCTAACCATTTTCAAATACGGTACATGTAGTTTTCTCTATACTATCCATATACAGTATTATCGTATCGGTATATATGCATTTTACACACGTGATGCATACCATACTGATATTCGCATTACCCCCAAAAAGTAGATAGAAAATGAAAGCTTTTCGAGCTCTTGTTTGAAAAATATGCGTAGAAAAAGTAAAGTACATAGAAAATAGAAAAATGTGCATAAATTTGGAGTGTTCTGCTGCTGCATTATTCAGGTTTATTCTTTGATTCACCAATCAGATTCTTCGGAACACCAAAATCAATGATCACTGATTTGGTTAATTTATTTGATAATTATTCCATGCTACACAATCACTAAATTTCACACGATTGCCACCAAATATGTCTAGTGCGCTATTTTTTAAAATAAAGACTTTGCTAGTATCTTTAGTGTTAAAAGAAAAGTGGACGATTCATTAATCTTTACCTGCCAAATGTCAAATCAACGTTACCGTCTGAGAGGCGATTAACAAGTGATAAATCCGTTATCGCTGTTTTTTTTTGTTTTATTTCAGATGAACGCGTGATTTTATTTTTTATCAGTATTCTGTTTCAATTGATCCCACTCTTAAACATTATAGTACATACAATTTGCACCTCCTGCATACGTGACTGGTATTCGAGACCATTTGCCTAAACCTTAATTATCAAAAAATAAAAATTATAATTTTTGTATATAAAACGAATTGTTTAATGCCTAATAAATAAAAAAATACTTGCATTCAACCAATTCTGTATCGATGCCCTGACAAAGACCCTCAACATCAGCCGCATGAACCAAGAATTCACTGATGGAAAATTTAACAATCAAAAAAATCGTTGAAGCATAGAAAAATCAAAATAATAGTAATAGTTGTAGAAATACCTGCAATAAGTTGATAAAAGGTCCAAGGTAGCTACAAAAATTAACAATTAATTTTGACTTCCTTATCACCAATGTTGTGAATGTTTCTTACCTTGATTTATTTCGGTATCGGTGATTGTTTGCCATTTGTTCATTGCTACGACCCATTTTTTATCGCGTTTTCTACAACTGAATTGATGCAATTAAAGATCAATAAGTTTCGTTTATTCGCAAGCGCTTAATACTAAAAAGCTACTTACCTGAGATCAACCACTAAACGTTCTCTCGAAATAGTTGCGGATAATCTTTGCAAACGGTCCAAAGAAAATCTAGCATCAGGGAATAAAAAAGATGTAACAATCACCTAACATGTAGGAACAAGTTAGAAAGTCAATGACGCACAAAAATATAAGGGACACATAAGATTATAATCAAATCAGAAAATACTTTCTCAGCGCCTGCATCAATCCAATCTTGAGCGTTTTCGTCGGTTATACCACCTCCGATTTGAAGACCATCTATTAAAATAAAGATTAGAGGAATGTTAAAAAAAAAAGGGATAATTTCGGATGAATGTTTATGACTTACCTGGCCATGCTGATAATGCTTCTTTTGCGGCAGCGTCATTTCCCAGACCAAGTTTTATCACGTGTGCGCCGGTGAGATCATGCTGTTTATATAGATTCGCATAATAACTTGGAGACTCTCTAATTATCATCCAGGCAAATGCCAGACAATTCAATTTGATCTTTTAAAATTTTTTGAGTTCTAAAGATTATATTTTTCTTGTTTATGAAAATTACAGACTTTGCAACAAAATTCGTTTTCAATTCATCCAGATTAGATTCGTTCAAAGAACCTCCGACAATTTGTTTCACCTTTCCATCATGTAAATCAATGCACGGACGAAATTTCGTTCGTGACATTTATTCAATTAGTTGATCAATAGATAAAAAAAATAAAGGATCGAACGGTTTTGATCGAAACGAGGACGATATAAAAGATACATTGATAAATTAATTATAGATTTTCAGATTGAATCAACATGAATGATTACCAAAAGAAGAAAGAATGAAATGTAGATTCCTCTTTAGCATATAACGATGTCTTTATCTTCTTCAAATCTCAATGAAGATACTCAGGATGGTCTCAATAATTTCCAAGACGAGGCGAGCACTTCCGAAAATACACCTCTTATTTCTTCGGGAAATGATGAGGAAATAAGAGATGTTATAACTGATAATACCACCTCTACGTCAAAATTCGCTACCTTTATTCAAAATCTTCCGAAACCTCATACTTTATGGATGATACCGTTTTCGTTCTCTTTATCAGTTATGATGACAGCTGTATTAGCACCTTCAGGTTTTTTTTAAAAATTTCTATTTAGGATACTTTCATGTTTCATGATAAAGAATTAAATATGCAATGTCATATCAATTGATCAGTACAATTAATTCTTCGAATAATTTGTCTCGAGTACATTGATCGAGAAAAACAAACGGTGACAATTTGGGATGATCTCGAAGAAAATGAGAAATGTCGGGAACCCGAGATTCAATCATTGACCGCCAATTTTTTATTATGGTATCAATTGTGTGGATTTATAGCAGGTATTCTTTCATCGAGACGTAAATCATTCTCATCAATTTTTTATTAATTGTGATTTCAAATTTTTAGGAACATTGTCCATTGGATATATATCAACTTTGTCAGACTACAAAGGTCGTCGTTTTGCTTTTCTACTTGCTAGCGCTGGAATTATAGTTGCGGTGACAAATGTAATTTTTGTTGCACATTATTGGAAGATTGTGGGCTCGAAATTTCTATTCCTTGGTATGATAGTGGAAGGAATGCTGGGCGGAATTATCTCTATTAATACAGCATGTCATGCATATATAAGCGATTGTACAACAGCAGACAAGAGAAGCATTTCTTTTGGGTATATGCATGCTTCCGCGTACTCTGGAATGACTGTTGGCCCAATTTTGGGTGGACTCTTGATAAAAGTAATTTATAACTGATAGTTTAATTTAACGATTATTGATTAATTGAAAAAGCAACAAAAGATAACACAGCAATGATAATTATAATAGGTTACAGGATCCATTCTCTCAGTATTTTACATTACACTCTTTGGACATTTCCTATTCTTTCTATTTAATCTATTTATACTACCCGAATCACTTTCACTCGAGCTACGTAGAGCACGTAAAGAACACTCGTCGACATCAGGAGCTTCACCGAGAAATATTTTTGCTGCGCTTACTATTTTGTCACAGAAGCCGACTGAACAATATCCCGGCGAGAGAAGCAATTGGCGTGGTCGAAATACAACCTATATACTTGCTGCAATTTATTTTCTGTATAGAGTGTCACAAGCTAGTAAGAGAAATAATTTTGAAATTGAATCTTATTGTTCTTCTGATATCTTACTTTACGTGTATATTTTATCATTGCAGGTCAAAATAATATTTTTATACTATATGCAGCACATAAATTCAATTGGACGGCACTGGAGAATGGATTCTTTCTCTCGACACAAGCATTTTCGAAATTTCTTGCATCACTTTTACTTCTTCCTCTATTCAATTTTCTATATCGTCGATTCTTTGTCTCCTCCACATTTTCCCGAAGCTTTGATTTATCAATGATACGACTAGGAATAGGTTTGGAAATCCTAGGATTTATATTATTCGCCACGGCCGTTCTACCCGCAATGTTTTATTTCGCGTGTGTAATTAATGCATTGGCAACCATTGCAACTCCCGCACTTCGATCTCTGTTCACTACTCTTGTGTTGCCTACTCAGGCTGGACAGATTATGGGGGCGTTAAGTGTAATCGAGAGTATCGGGAGTATTGCAAGCCCACTTTGGATGAATCCTTTGTACGCTTGGGCGGTGAAAAAAGGTGTAGCAGAGATCGTGTTTTGGGCTCACTCTGCGATATTTATTTTGGCTAGTTTTCTCGGATTTTTGGTTTATTGAAATAAATTATGATCATTGCAGATCTATTAAATGCTGTTACACAACAGCGTAAAAAATATACAAAATGTCAACTTTCTCATTACGCGAAAGTTAAAAAAATGGCATTCTTATTTTCATCCACCATCAAAAAGAATAGATCGTTTCCAAGTCTTTTATCAAATATAAAGCAAAAAATTTACACTAGCATCAATATTGGAACACGCAATACTTTTACCAGCACTGTCACCAAGACCCTATTCACTCCACTGAACTCCACTCACTTCACGCCAACACCAGGACAAAACAATGGTGTCGGACAAGTCCTAAAAACCACGACACGTGGTATGAAAGTTCGGTCGTCGGTGAAAAAAATGTGTGACGGTTGCTATACTGTACGACGTCGTGGTTATTTGTTTGTATTGTGTAAAAAGAATAAGAAGCATAAGCAGCGACAGGGATAATGGGAAAAGAGCATATTCTTTGTGAGGTGTGATTTTGCTATTATGAATAATGATATTTTTTGCAGAATTGATTTTTTGCGCTTAATCAAAGAAATTCGTTAAATCCAAGGCCAAAGTATAATACGTCGTTAAAGAACTTCATAGAATTATTGATCATTTTATTCTGGTGCAAAATAAAGATTCTTGGTCAATTTCCAAAGATTATATTTCGATATATATATAAAATGGTTAATGGTACCGAGTCTGATTTGCTGTTTCGCTCGATTTGACTTGGGCTTTAGCGATTGCATTACATAAATAACCAATCAGATCGCGTCGAAATATTCATATGATCAAATCTAAAACGCCAATCTCAATGACGCGCCAACTTCACTCGAATGATGTTAAAACCCAAAGTCATTTCCCAGGTTCTTCGACAAGCAACGACGGGAGGTGTAAAAGCTACTCTGTAAATAAAATTTATTTAACTTTATACTGGAGCTTTTTTCTTTTTCAAGAGGCGACTTTATTATATATGTTATATTAAAAGAGGTCGTCAAGCTCTTTATTATGTGGTGTTGATTTGACGCAAAAGTGTTAATACTTATTTTTATCTAATGTCATTATAACATATAAAGACTTTTGAATTCCGAAGGTTCTCCTTTGGCATTTGTTTCAGAATCTGGTGACCGCGATGCTCGAGTTTATGCGGCCATTGCGTCCAATGTTTGGAGCACATTTGAAAAGAATACTAGACCATTGACAAAGGAAAATCTAGCCACTGGATCTGGATCGGGTGGCGGTACCAGTAGTGGTAATGGTGCGAATAATGCATTGAAGTTTTTGTTGGTAGAGTGTGAGGTAGATTAATCTTTAATTATCTAGTTTTCGATGAGTATATACATAATTTTATTAAGTTAGTTATTCTTTAGGAAGGTAATCTTGCTATCACTACTGTCGCGAATATGTTATTGTGTTTGACTGCAAACCCGGATGTTGCATTAGGAATCCTGAAAGCAAAGGTAGAAATCAGAAATTTATAATATTTCATTATTTAACAAATTCTTTTAAGTATAATGGTGTTTTTTTATAGACGGAAGCCTTAGCTCGACATTTAGAAGAACCTTTTCAACGAGTGACCACTTATAATTCATCTTAATATGACATATATCTTTTTCAGCAGAGTTTTCTTGATAGATGTTCAGGGGAGGGTTTCATTAGTATAGTGATATTTCGGAGACTTATCAAGGTGAAGAATATCGAGAGTGCTGAGATTAATAACAAGATAGAGATTTGGTTGGTTAGCGTTTTTTTTCCTTTATCAATTTAGTTTATTATTATTGATTTGTTTTGTATATTTTATATTTTATATTATAGCGGATGAGATTGTTTAATAAAATTACATATATATCATTTGTACAGCAACTTCATTTTATTTTGTTTCATGGATAAGGATAAGAATGATAATAACAGGTAATTATGCTATTAAGATAAGTTTACTCGGAGATATGCATGTTATTAAGTATATGCGTGTGAGGAAGATACTTATTCAGTCTCATCTTGGAACGTTTTCTTCTTCCTCTTCGTTATCATCATCAGCAACGTCATACAAAACCCTAACACGTAGTGAACATCCACCACACGCAACAATATCTATCCCGTTCTCTAAATCCTCCTCAGTGATTATGTAATGACTACTACAGCGACATTCCAATGTGTATGTAAAGGTTTCTAAGAAAAAATCGGAATATTGATTATATATGAAATCGATATTAAATTAATTAATTAATTAATTACCTTTATCATATTTCATGTCATCTAAATCTATTTCCGCATTAACAATGCCCTCGTTTTGTTCATTAAATTGTGCAGCTATTAATTATTAGACCGTGAAGTCTTAGTTTTTTCAACTTACAATAGATTCGGTAATAACCAAATTTTAATTTGGAAAACTTTAGAAAACCAAACCTTTGATCTGAACATCATACGCTTTTCTTGCGACAGGATTTCTTAATGTTTTCCATGCATCACTTATTTGCTGTACTTTATAGGCGGTTGAAACATCCCTACCGCCACCATCACCACCACCGTCGTTAGTTTCCCGTTCATCAATAAAATTCTCTCTTAATCCTTCGTCAACTGTGTCATCGATTTCCAAAGATCCATTGCTGATTTGTTTATTTTGGTGCCACTTTTCTTTATCTGGATGCCACTTTTCAAAAAATCCTTAGTAAAATTGTTACCGTACATAATTCTACGTGCAAAAATATATATGGATAGATACACTACGATTAGTATCAATTTTTGATACGCCTTTTTAATTTCATTCGCGCTAGCTGTTGGCAATACTCCTAGGATGTCGTAATATGTTTCCACTTCTTGATCAGTCATATTTAAAATAATGAGTTTAAAACTCAAGGTTACATAATCGATGATGTAATATTTATTTTTTATACATACCCTAGTAAAGGTCACCATTTTTATATTACTCATTTAAAAAACTTGAGAACGCAAAATTTATTAAATATATCGTATACTTTTTATTTTACACGATACAGTAATTAAATGCATTATCTAAATTACTATACATAGAATTAAGCTAAATTATTTTGCACGACGTTTACCTTTCGTTTTTGTACTCCTCCTGTCTTTATGTTGTGATGATGTATTTGCCGTCGTTGTGGAAGTCGAACCTTGCACATTAGATGAGGGTGGATTAGGTTGCTGATGATTGTTAAGTTCGTGTGTATTAGATGATGGCGTAGATGCAGAATTATGATTTTCTCTTAATACTTTTTCTCGCTCCTTCATTCGAATATATAATCGTTCTTTTTGTTTACAGGCACCCACTATTCCGGCTCTTGCGCTTGTCAATTTTGTTAGAAACTGACCACTAAAATCAAGTTGCTCCTATTAAAACAAAGATTCGGTTTAACTTCTAAAGAAAAAAGAATTGAAATTCTAACAATCAAAAAATCAAAAATTACCAATAATTTTTCACGTATTTCTTTAAGCGTTTCTAGTCCATCGTCTTTTCCCTCCAACGCTCTTTTACCTTTGATACTCTCATTTCCCTGTAAGCCCATATTCAACACACCGAAACCACTACCACCTTCAGATTTTTCGGTTTTTGAAACGCGAGTGGTTACAGTTTCGGGTAATGGATTGATCCTGAAATCCAGCTCTTGATACATCGGATCATCTCCTTGGAGTATATTATATAATCTGGTAAGAATTTTGTTGTACCGATGTTCATCCTCTATCATTTGCGAAAATTGTTGCGCAAGTTTATTTAACCTTAAATCTCTTAATACCCTTTTCAATGCTGGGCGCCTAATTATATCTTCGGGCGTTTCTAAGGGACCAAGAATATCTGGAAAAAATCGATAACGAAAAAAGTAAATATCAACGAGATTTAGATTCGACAAACTCGCGTGTGTCGATAATATCAGAATTGCAGAAGTCGTCTCAGCATTTTTTTTAGAAAAAATTTGATTGTTGAGCTTGATGTAGTGATTCTTTGCTCATCATAAATATGTCCAATTCAATTTTTAATTATTCTTTGCGTACCTTTTATACTAACTTCTTTATATGGATTTTCTTCCTCGTCTCCGCTGAACGGCAATAATGTTTCCGATGATTGTGGAATTCGGTAGATAATATGACGTCTTTTTCCACTAGGAGGGTCAATATATTCCAAATCTTCATGATATCCATATGGCGCCTTTAATTTGGGACCGCCATTTAAAGCTTCAGCGCGTCTCTTAAGTTTATTTCCACGATTGTGCGGAGTGAATCCAATTTCCTCTTTCGAGCTGCTATCCTCATCATCGGTATGTTCACGCTTTATCCTCATATCTATTAATCAAAAGAATTAGAAATGAGGTAGATCTTTTCTAATGTTAATGCATGAAAATTATTTTACCCATCATTGGTTCCATCATTTCATCTTCATCTTCGTACTCATGATCATGATATTGCGAAAGAAGCTGCGAACCGGAAGCTTCAATAGGTTCCTGTTTGATATATCTTGTTAATTCCTCCGGTTCATGATGATCAACACCATTTTGAGATGCAGCCCATTCAAGTACCTTTGCAGCAGCTGTAACAGGCACAGGTGAAGTTAACGAAGATGACGCCAATAATTGCGGAGAACTCGTTGATGGTAGATGAGAATGCCGCTGCTGTGGCGTTGATGGACGCGACAATTGCGTCAAATTTACAGCCGGTGTTAGAGCACGTGGCTGCGATTGTTGTGACAGAGGAACTTGTATATTTGGTGGCGCATGATGATTCGTTTGCAAAAGTTGCGAAGATGACGATTGACCATTTTGCAGAATAGGAGATCGAGGTGGATGTGAATTTTGTGTAGGATGCGAGCTATTATTTACCAGTGTTGATATTTGAGTATTATTCGAAGTAACGACGGTAGAGGGACGTGAGTTTGGAGTGGACGCCGATTGTGATGAACGACCCATAAACGAACTGAATGGAGGACGTTGAGTGGTCGAACTAACAGCACCATTGCTCATAGAAGGTTGAATGCGTGTGTCAGCAGTATATGTTTGTGCCAATTGTACAGTTTGAATCGGTACAACATTTTGACGGGAATGCGATATGGGGGAAGTAGAAGTTCTTGTAGCAATTTGCGGACGCACACCGTTTTGTGACAAGCCACGAACCTGTTGAGATTGAAGTGAAATAGAAGCAACGGGTTGCTGTGTCAAGGGAAGAGGAGGTTGCGGTTGCGGACGCACACCGTTTTGTGACAAGCCACGAGCCTGTTGAGACTGAGGCGAAATAGAAGCAACGGGTTGTTGTGTCAAGGGAAGAGGGGGTTGCGGTTGCGGTTGCGGTTGTGGTTGCGGTTGCGGACAGTGATGGCCGAGTGAGTTATTGGACATTTGGACACATTAAACATTTGGACATTTGAACATAATACATTAACTTCCCTAGTATCACCAACAAAAAAAGTCACGCGTCACGTGAGATCGCAAGGGTCATGTGGTGTCAGTCTAATTTCATTGGGCAATTATAGTGTAGTGATACAACATACAATAACAAATAAATTTCTTTTTTGGGAGTGATACAACTAGTCACTAGCGCTAGAGATAATTTTTTACTAATCTTTTCTAAAATTAGTAATTTTAAATTGTTCGGAGGACCGATTAATAACCTTTTTTTGGTGTCCCAAACAAATTAGTTTTAGTTTCAATTTCTTATCGTTATAGAATAAATGGGTTCATGATATTCCATTTTATATTTCAGGGGCATGGTTCCGAAAGTTCATAGCCATGGCAAAAAAAAAGGGTCGGTTCACGTGATATTTGTGTATGTCCGGAAAAATTCTACGGTAATAGTTTATTGTTAAAGGTTAGGGGCTAGAGCTAGCGTCAAGATTATATGTAAAATTGCCTTCCCGACTCTTTTTGTAGTGTACATAGCTTTGGATTTAGGCCGTATTTTTTACATTTTTTGCTTCCGAGCTGATTAAAAATTTACGAATTTTTTATTGGTTTGTGCCACCAGCAACACGTGAACCGACCCTTTTTTTGCCATGGGTAGAGTACTTATCATGTGTGCATATTTAATGCATTAACCAAATAGAAGATGAACGGTAACTATGTCGACTCTCAATCCTTCGTCCTCGCTTTCTCAAGCAATAATAATTCCTGGAAATGGCTTTTCAGAACCAGAGACAGCAACATGGTATCCTTATGTAGCTTCGCAACTTGGTAAAGCAACTTCACGGGAAACTGGCAGTAAATTATTCCCGGATGGAGTAATATTAAGACAATTCCCTGACTGGGAACTTGCTCGAGAGTCTGTGTGGCTTCCTTTTTTAGAAAAAGATTTGAAAGCTTGTAGTGATACTGTCTTGATCGGCCATTCGAGTGGTGCTGCTGCTGCATTGAGGTTAATAATTGCTTTCATGATCATTTAAGCAAGATGTCAAAAATTTATTACTATTACTATATTTTATAAAGATATTTGGAAACGCATCGTGTATTGGGGGTAGTTCTTGTTTCCGCGTATCACACAGATCTGGGAGATCCGTATGAGGTAAAATACGTATTTTTTTGATCTCCTTAATGGTCTTTTGGTCTTAAAGATTATATGTTGATAGAAAGAAGCTGGATACTTTAATCGTCCATGGAATTGGTCACGTATTTCCCAAAACGCTAATTGGATTATACAGTTTGCTAGCACTGATGACCATTTGGTGCCGATTGAAGAGCAAAGATATGTGCATACAATGATTGGCTCTGAATATCATGAGTTTAAAGATTGGGGTCATTTTAATTATCAGATGAAATTCCAGGAATTAGTTGATGCTGTTGTTGGATTCATGGATGGTGCAATCGACAAAAAAGCTATAACGGCGCGTGGAAAGAATCCCGGGACTTGTTGAAACTTGTATAGTGATATTATTAGCTAGTTTCAGGTTAAGCATAGGAACATGAGAAAAAATTCACGATAATATGTCACACCTCAGAGATTTTGTTATCTCTTCGAACAAATCTATTAAAACTTGAATTGGTTATAAGATACGCAGCAATATTTAGTTATTGTGCACCGGCCCAATTTGATTATTGGTCATACGTAAACAGAATATATTTGACGGGGTAAAGGGAATAACTCGTTTTCTCGGCTGACTAAACCAATTAAACTTTGACAAGTAGTGTTTTTTTGTTAGGAGGATTAGGGCTTTTAAATGTGTACAGTGTGGGTCACTTGGTCACCATACAAAAAAAATAACGAAAAATTATAAAATACGTAAATCAATCGTTTATTGACTACTCTATAGATAACATTACGTATTTTTTTGACTGGAAAAGTTTAGATTGTTGATTTAATAAGTCTTAAAGATTTGGCCAATTGTGGTAACTAAGTGACCTGCATTGTAGTAAAATCATTTATTGTTTATTATTGCATACTAAATGAAAAACGTGAAACGGCCAAGAAAACAAGGTGAAACTTTATTTAATAACCTTTCATTACGTTCAAGGTTAGAATCCTCCGCCCCACACGCAGATCGATGTGACTATTACCGATATACTTTCTGAGTCAATAAGATGCGGAGATTTGTGCGTGTGAGAGCGTGTGCATCTGCGTGTTGTTTAATAATAATTCTTGTGTGCATTACGTGCAGAGTAAACTTCCAATCAAAGAAAGCACTACCTACAACAATTTTTAAGCTCACTTTTCTCTTGCATTCTATATCGTCCTATCTCATAGATCAAAAAAGAAAACTGATTTCCCCCCCCCCCCAAACAATTTCTTACTATTATTTTGAAAGTAAATAATGTTAAGTGGATGAGGTAAGCCGAAGATGGACGCACGTTCGTTAACAATGAATATTAGGCTATATGTTGATGGTTACTGTTGTGTGCTTTGTGGTATGCGAACATGTACAAACAAAACGGGGAGAGGAGAGAAGGTACACAAACAATATAATAATAATAAATCACGAAATCAATCAATTCATAATCCGGTTTGATTTTGTATCTTAGAAGAGAGGAAGAACAACTTTTAATGATGATTTCATTGTCATCATCTATTAATAGAACGCTTGTTAATCCATAACTAAATAGTAGCAATAATAACCATTATATATCGATATATACATTTAAATGAGTGATCTATTGTATTAGTTCTCCGAAATCTTGATATTATTATTACTAAAAAATAATTCGAGAAAACTCATCAAACATCAAAATTGATCGGTGGACCATGAGACCATCTATAGAAAAGAAGTGCGATGTATCATCACACCCCTCCAAATATGTATCAAACCCCAACTGAAATAAATAAAATATGACACGTATGTACATACAAACACATATGTACGTAATACATATATAAACTATCAAATATTAATAACTGACAACGAAAACAATATATCTACATTCTATTTATAATATTTATAATAGTATTATTAGTAATAAAGTAATTGGTTGAAATTCGATTGTGTATAAAATATAAATACATGTATATATATTCTCGCGCCACCCTTTTCTTCTTATTAACTAACTAACTAACGAACGGACAATCTGCTGTTGTAATTTTTTTCTAATTTTGGGTGAGTATTTTTTATATATTTCTGAATCTTATTTTTGATTTTACTCCATTTTACTTTTTATTATTTTTTTCCTTGATTCTCCTTTTCTCTCTCTCTTCCTTTCGTTTTTTTTACTCTCTTTCTTGCAACTCTCTTTCTTAATAAATTTTTATTATACAAATCATAAGAAAACAGAGACAGAGATATCAGATAATTTTTTCCTTCCACTTTGCTCTTTCAATTTCGAAATTCCACTTTTTATTTTCCCCCCTTTCTACATAACCAAAATATAACAACATGAGCAAGAGCGTCATGCTTAACAATATTAATAACAACGGAAACAACAACCATAACAATAGTAACGAGGCAAAAGTGGGAGGAAAGTTTGACCTCGATTCGGTTGGTAGCCGTATTACACTTGTTTTTAACCAACTATTAATGTAGTAATAGTAGATAGATATAGTTGTTTCGTAACAATAATATATGCCTATATATTAATAGCTAAACAGAAACAACCAAAGCAACGCTATCAAAAATTTATGCTATTCTTGCTATTAATATAAAAAATATATCGGGTATTTGATGAGGCTATGATAAAAGAGGCGGCAGCGGCGCGCAGTTACTTAACTTGGCCACACGCACATATTCAAGCTTTAATTTTTATTTTTATTACCCCTCACTACTTTATTTACTATTACTTCTTTTGATTATTTACACCTGATAAAAATGGTATTTTTTTACATGTATATAAATATATGCAGTATTGGTATTCTCTTTCCTTCTTTATTATTACTTTTTTTTTCTTTTCAAACTTACTATTTCCAAACAGTACAACTTCTGAAATCAAATGAAAAATAATTTTTATAAATATTCTTTTTCTTCCGCTTCAATTCAGGGCAACGATTTAAATCGCAATCTCAATCACCACCACCACCACCATAATATTTTTAACAATAACAACAACAACAACGATAACAACAACAATAACAACAACAATAATAGCAACAACCTTATTTCATACCACTTCCGCAGCCTCCAAAATAACAACAGCAGCAGTACCAGTAATTACAATATTACACCAAATAACGAATTTGAACCTCTTCTCTCTCAATTGCATGCTATGTCTCCAGGTACAGAATAGAATTCCTTACCCATACATTTGATTATTGTTGTGATTTTCTAACAATAATAATAACAATCATTCTTATTTTATTTTATATCCAGCGATTGAGCGACAGACTTTTCTTGACGAGGTATGCAATTAAAAAAAGGAAATTTCTTTAGGGTTTTTAGGATTTAGATTAAGGGGTGGTTTTTTTATACTTTTTTTTGGGGGTTTATGAACAAAAATATAGAAATATCTATTTTATGTATAGAAATGCAGAAAGGAGGAACAAGCAAATATGCTGTCAATTTATCTTTACTGATAATCATAACTTTTAACCTTCATTTTGAAATGCATTTCACGTACAGGTGAATTCTATCGAAGATACTGATCTGTTACGGCGCATGCTAATTCAAAAAGAACAAGAAAGAGACGACATAGCAAGTAACCTGGATATAGCGGCAAGACTCGGATTAGCTATATCAGAAAAAAACGAAGAATTACAAATGAAGTTGAATTTGGCGACTCAGGCTGAGGCTCAGGCTTATTTCAAGGTTTGTATTTTTTTTTTACTATCAATTACCATGTTTAGATTATCGATATTGATTTTTATTTGTATTAACAATAATAATAACTTGAATATAGCTGTCGACCTTAGAAGAAGAAAATCGAATGTTATTATCTAAAGCCTCCCGTAGCAATGAGCTCGCATCACAACTGATATCCAGCGAGGAACAAGTCAAAACGCTACGAGAACACAAAGCATACCTTCAAAAAGAATTAGAAACCGCCCGACGGGAATTAAAACGATTTCGAAAGGAATTAGACAGTTTGACGGGTCAGATGAATGATATGGCCGAGGATATGATTGATTCGCGAAGTAAAGTTAATACGTACGCAAAGAAGTTGGGTGAGTTTTATTTTTATCGTTTTCATTTTCTCGTTTTGCTTGCAATGAATAAATAATTCACAATTTGATATTTATATCTTAATTAAAAGCCGAGGTAGAACAACATCTAACGGACACACAAGAAATGAATGTCAATCTCTCAATACAACTAGAAAAATCACTAAGCTCCCAGAAAATATCCAGTGCCACCACAACACAAATCGTAAAGATGATTCAAGCCGACCTCGGACGGGTCGTGTTGGAGAATGAACATCTTCGAGCGAGTATCAATGAATTGGAGTCACGGCAGGGTCATTGTGAAGGCAAATTGGATGAAATGATAGTTAATGCGCAAGAATATGCTCATTTGTTGGAGGAAGCTCAGGATACTATACACTCGTTAAGCGAGACTCGACTAGAGTCTGATATTGAAAATTTGGAAATATCACCTGGTCGAAGTCGTAGTAACACTCTGAAAAACGTTACAAAGGTATTTAATTTATGATTAATATTAATATTAGTATCATTACTTTTTATTAATTTACTTTTCTGATTACAGGAAACACCTCCAATGAAAGGAACACCATTCTCGGCAGAAGTAGAACAACAACTCGAGAAGACCATCGAGGAACGTCTAAAATCCCAAATGTCCTCACCGCGGCAAAATCCCAATTCGTCGGTTGTCCCTGTAGATATGAAAAAGGCAGCCGCCGGACTAAAGTATTTGTTGTCGGCTAGAGAAGTCGAAGGTAAAGATGGTGGCAAAGGTAAAAGCCCTGAAAGGCGACCGTTCGGTGGTGGTTATGTCTTGCATTCGTACAATGTTCGTTAAATTTTGTGTGTGATTTTTTCTTTACTCTTGGTTTTCTTTGAGAATAGGATTTTTACTTCCGCTATCATAGTCAAATTGAGATCATCATTATTATTATTTTCTTTCACTTTTCCCCTATTTAAAAAAAATATCAAAATAACGGAACGACAACAGCAACAACAAACAAAAAGCATGTAAACTAAAAAAAAGAACACTACTATTTCTTGTTATTGTTGTTTTAATCTTGCGTTTCTTTTCACTGTTTCCGATGGAATTCACAAAAACAAAACAAAAACATACGCTTTCATTTCTCTTTTACTATTGTCATAATCATCAATTTTCCGGGAATAGTAATAATATTACTTAATATGGTACATATATTCTTTTTATTATTCCTTTTCTTCACTCCTCACATAATGACATCACCATTTCGCCTCCTTTTTTTATTATACACTTAAATCTATTGTCACCCTGTTTTTTATCATTATTATCATTACACTTATTACCTATCCCTTTGCTATATCATTTATTTTAACATACATTTACATACACACACTTCACTCATAAACATTCTATACACACGCATTACATACGTATATCCATAGTATATATATATTATTTCATTCAAAATGCAATCAAATCATTTTATTCATTTCATAAAGCAAATCAAATCAAATCAAATCAAATTAATTAATATAATTCGTAATTCATGTGTCAGTTTAAATAATATAATTCAATCAGAATATTATATTAATGACAATGACAATAAAAGTATGATTCGTAAATCTAACGTTTGTTAAATGAGCACTTGCATAACATCGGGAACCAGTGAAATTTACCATTAATTTTGGGATAAATTATTATCGTAGATTAATAATTAATAGTAAATATCACTGGTTCCCACGCGGATCACGAATTAAACAATGTGATAATTATGTAAATAAATAATTGGTACAAGTCGGGAGGTTCATATTAAAAAGCGTGTATAGATATTGATATAAAACATTATTTGTTGATTAGCGATATTCTATCAACCAATAGATGTTCGTACGCGAGGGCTTATTGCCAGAGCAAAAGAAAATGCTCTTTGGTCCACGGAACATGTTAAGTATCAAACAGTAATATATGAATTATTCGTCGAGTTCTCTAGTTTATTACATTTGCGCGGTCAATTCATATGCGATAAATATACGATAGATTTGCAATTATATTACATATTATTATTATGAATGGTTATTCTTTTATTTTTTCCTGTATTCGTCGTGTGCCTTGTAAAATATTTAGACTTTCAGCTCTTGGCACAGATTTCGATCTAGATGTGTATTTAGAATGTCCAGTAGAATGTGTCGTTTCTCTCCCTATATGAGGCCTTGATTGGGTAGATCGTGGGGGAACAGACTTTTGTAAATTGACTAAAGTTGCAATTTGGTCTCCCTTAATCATAAATAATGACATTTAATATAAGTAAGAATTTTTTAAAAATTGTTTTATAAGTACATGTAATCACCTTTAATTCCATATTGTCCATTGCCTCTTTGATTTTGTCTTTGAGCGCATTTCTCTTGCTTTTATTCCCTATTAAGTCCATCTTTTGATATTCTTCAGCTAGGTTATTATAATACCTAAAAAAATCATATTAAAAATAAATAATCAGTGTTTTCTAGTCTACTATATGAATTTCACTTACATTTTATAATGTCCCAACTCGTCGGTAAGATCGTTGATAACGCCAGCCAATGGTGAAACAGGTGGACCATTTCCACCACCTTAAGAAAAATTATGGGAATACACGTCAATAATATTCCAAAATCGGCTATTATATATAATCTAATATAAAAAAGATTTACGTTTCTGTTCTTTAGTGTCATTTAAAGTTTTATTTTTTCTCTTTTTGCAAACAGAGCATGAGCCGGGATTATGATTTTTCACCATGTCAAATGCCCGTTGTAAGTTAACAGTAACCGAATGTGATTTTCCGTAACCCTAATAACATTAAATAAATAAATAAATAAACTTTTCTTAAGGTGTTGAATATCTTTGTCATACCGTTCCAACAATAAAGGGTATATGCCTCGCTATTTCGTTAGGTCGTTTTGTGGAAGGCTCTTTATGGCGGTTGGATTCATTCGTGTTCTGATCCCTTCGTCGGAGATACGATTTATTATCTTTGACATCTCTCCACATTGGATGACTCTGAGAAAATTATACTTATTAATTAGAAATGAAATGTTAAATTAATCAATTGATGAATATAACTTATTAATTTTAAAGCCTACAGGAAGAGGCTCATCATGAGAATCATCAGCATCTTCTTCCAATTCATCGCGATATCGATAATCCTCAAAATCATACTCCTCATCATTTATGCCATTGTCCCGATCTTGATTACGATAATATTTCTTTTCTTGTTTTTGATTGTGATGATGTTCTGTATAATTTCTTGTGTCCATCTCTTCTCTTCCATTATTAGATCTTTGGCCAAAATCTTGGTAAAAATCTTTGTTTTTAAAGATTTGAGGACTTCTGGCTCTTTGATTTCGGTTATTATCATTTTCGGGAACAGATGGAGATTTTCTTACATTTCGAATCTCTCTCTCCTCTTCCTCATTAATATTTTCATTGCTTTCAGCTTCACGCTTTCGACGGCTGGCATTAATTTCTTCTTGAATGTATTGAAGCTCATCCGACTAAATTAATGTCAAAAATTCAAATATAAGAGAATAACCCAATTCAAAATAAAACTCAACTGTAAAGATAAAATTTGCTGAAATTGATACAAAATTGCTGTACACAATTTGTAAGAACGCTAAAATAATATTCTATTTACATTAATTCCACCCTCAGAATCAAAATCCGATGTGTTTTCATCTTGTTGCTCAAATTCTACAATTTCATCTTGTAATGTATTCATTGGTTTTGAAGATCCAGGTTTCGCAAACTCATTACCTTCTGATTGTTTATATTTAGATGATGGTTGTGAAAAATCTCGAGTAAAATTGAAAATTGGCGCTTGGGAACTTGTTTGAAGCGGAGATTTTTTTTGCGACGAGGAGGATCTTCTCAATTTTTCAATATCCTCTTTTAATTTTATTATTTCTTGTTGTGTGGATAATAATGCTTTTTGGGCTTCATTACGCTCTTCGTAGACTCTTTGTGTAAAGGTTTTATTATATTCCAATTGTCGAAATAACGCATCATTTTCTTCCTTAAGCGTAATAACGAGTGCTTCAAATCCTAAGAGGGATAAAAAATTTAATTATAAAAATCAAAATATGATAAATTACAATAACAACCAGTTCTGAATTAAATTACCTTACTTTCTTTTTCTGATGCATTCAACTCTTGATTAACATTCGAATTCTGGTTACCTGAGTCTTTCGGTTCAACGGGATCGGGAAGCTTTTTCGATTTTTCTCCTTGTAGTAATTGGCGTGCACTTTGAACTTCTTTTTCCAATTCAACTATTCGCTGATTAATATTTTGGTTTGCTGTTTCCAATTCGGCAATCCGATTATGCGCTTTCTTTTTTTCCGATTCCAAATCGATAATCCGTTGATTAGATTGATTATTATTCGTCTGTAATTGAGTAATTTGTTGTTTAGCTTTTTGATTTTCGGATGTCAATTCAATAATCTTTTCGTCTATTTTCTGTTTTTCTTTTAGTAAATCTTGATTCTTATTTTCGGCATCTATCTTATCTGATTCAAGTTGTCGGATATTTTCGGTTAGTGTTTGTAACGCTGCAATCGGTCCTAAGTAAAAAAAAAGTTCGATTAAACGTGTGTCAAATTCTAAGTATCAAATGTTTATTATTTAAACTAACCATGTAAATTACTCATATTTCGATAATCTCGGTCTGGCCCTGGTTTTCCTGGAGTTGCGTTTGAAGAAAAATCAAACATTCGAAAAGAGTTCATGGATTTAATAGGAGTTTGCACTTTATCGGGAATTAATTCAGGTGGTGGTGTTTTTCGAGAAGGTTGTTGCTGTTTTTGTAATTCCTGCTCTTCACGCTGTTTAGCAACGCGTAGTGCCTCTTCAAGTTCTTGTTCTTGTCGTATTCGCTCTTCAAGTTCTGTCTGTTTAAGAGATTCCTCTTGTTCTTGTTTTTGACGTAATTGCTCATCGCTTTCATTGATTTGATTTGATTTCTCTTTTAATACATTTTCACCTTGTTCTTTTTGTTTTAATAATCTTTCCTGTTTAAGTCTTTCTTCATGTTCTCTTTGAATTTTTTCTTGATTTTCTTTTTCTCCCTGTTCTCTTTTAAATTTTTCATTTTCATCTTGTGCCTTTTGTTGCTGTGATAATTCTTGCTCGCGTTGTTTACGCATCAATTCCTCTGTTTCTTTTTGTTTCCGCAGGGTTTCTTTGTGATCGTTTTGTATGCGTATTTTTTCTTCTTCCCCTTTTTTTCTGCGGATTTTTTCATTTTGCCTTTTAATCCGATCATTATATTCATCTTCTAGATGAGACGTTTGTTCATCTTCTTGAGCTTTTAGAAATTGTTCTTGTTCTTCCTTTTGTTTTCTTATTTGTTCATTGTAGAGTTCTTGTGCACGTAATTGTTCTTCTTGTTCTTTCTCCGCGCGTTCTTTAGCTAAACATATTTGTTCTTGCAGTTCTGTGCCCTCTTGACCTTCTTGCTGATTTTCTCCTTCATTATAAATTTGGTTTGATTGAGTATTTGATGGGTTATCGGGCATAGCTATTCTTTTTCTTCGTCGCGATCTTTCCCGTATTGTGTTGGAATAGCCCAGAGAAATTACATCCTCATCTACCATGCTATGCTCACCAATTGCCTCTTGATACTCTCGCTCACTTGAGCCTTTCAAATCTGAAAGGATGTAGCGAGTAGAAAGTGAAGGTGATTCTACTGCAGGTTTAATAGCTTGCTGATTCAAGCTAACAGTATTTAAGCGACCACTACCTCGTTCACTTCTTTCGTCGTCGCCATCGTGACTTTTATTAGGTCTGTCATCATAACTATAATCACTCTCACTATTTTCCCCAATCACTGGCAAATTATGAGCTTTTGTTTGAAATGGGCTCACCAACTGATCAAAATAGTCCAATTCAGGACTTGTATAATCATCTTCATCTTCTAGGCGTATTTTTCGATACAGATGAGCTCCCGTCTAGATATTAAGATAAAAAGAAAAAAATTGGCTGAAAAGTCAAAGTTTATATGAATTCTTGTTATATGTAAACTTACGTTTTATATTCTACTTTAATTACTTACTTGGGACGCACTCGTAAATGTTCCGGTTCCCGGAGTCTCAAGGAACGGTCGATCCATATCTGAATAATCAATAGTACCCAAGTTTAATGCATCCTCTACATCAGCTGATTTAGGGTCGGAAAAGTACGATGCGACCAATTCGTCTCCATCTTCTGATTCACTATCGTCCGGATCAAACGTAATATTCTCAGCCTCACGTTCTATCTCTTGCTCAAGTCGAAATCTGTCAGCGTTGGAGGTGAACGAATGTGAACTTTGACTACTTGTAGACGTCAATGTAATATTATACTGGCCCGAAAAGTCAGCGAATAGCTTGCTTCCTTGTTCGTCCATTAGCAGTTATACGAAGTCTGAAGTTTTAGCCAAAAAAAGCTTGCACAAGGAGAGTCTTTAGCAAGATAGCTCAATAGTGGAATGCTTTCTTTAAACGAACAACCAAAAATATTCTAATCAGTGATCAAAATTTCAATATTTGTGTTACAAACTCTCAAATAAAGTAACTATGCATATGTTCATTCATTTCCTCGTAAACACAAAATGTCCAACCTCACTACCATTATCGTGACTGGCGCTTCAAGAGTATTTTGTGATTTATTTTTACGAATAATTCGAATTGAATTCTTGTATAGTATACATACATATTTCACACATCACAATCTTAGGGTCTTGGCCGTGCCGTCGCACTTCTTTCCATAAAACATTTCAATAGTAACGTTTTAGCTATTGCTCGTTCCGAAAAGGATCTAAATTCACTTAAATTACATGTAGAAAATGAGCATGGTCATAAAGGGCGACTGGAATTTGTCGTTGGTGACGTGAATGATAGTTCTGTAATTGACACGGCTATTAAGCAGTGCCTGTCTTCGTGGGGCCGGTTAGATGGAATTGTGACAAATGCAGGGTTAGTAGTTGATATTTTCATGATATATTCACTGATTTTCTAAATATTAATAATTATTTATTTTATTTAGAGTAATTGAACCTATTGGAACAATTGCTAATACTAAATTGGAAGATTGGAAAGGGTAAGTGTGATTGAATACACATATATATATATATGTATATACACACGAAGGTGATGTCATTAGCATTTTCCTTGTATGCTAAGCTTTGATATCCTCGATTTTTGTTTGCGATATTTATTAAATTCAATTTATTATTAGGCATTTCGATGTGAATTTCTTTTCAATCATTTCTCTTCTCCAAAAGGCAATACCACATCTTCGTGAATCTAAAGGTCGTGTTATTACCATATCCTCAGGTGCAGCATCTCACGCTTATTATGGTTGGGGTGCATATTGCACGTAAGTGGATAAAAAATTTATTTATGTCTTAATCGAATTCGAAAAATTAAATAATATAAAATCTCCAGATCAAAAGCAGCTCTTACCTCGTTGACCAGTAACTTGGCTATCGAAGAACCTGATATCACTTCGATAGCTATTCGACCTGGTGTCCTTGATACTGCTATGCAAAATCATATCCGCGAAAAAGGCAAGATACTTATTTTGGCATAGTAAATAGACTTGCTCCTTTTTTTCACACGCAACTTTATCATTGTTTGGTATTTTCATCAGGTGCTGAACATATGCTAAAAGGAGATTATGATAAGTTCGTTTCCCTGTACAAGAATAAAAATTTGGTAAATCCTGAAGAACCGGCATATATTATTGCAGGCTTGGTGACGGGTCAGCCAAGTAAGGAATTGAACGGCAAATTTTATAGTTGGGATGATCCAGAATTGGCGGCCTTTCAAAAGAAATGATGTACGGAATTATTAGGGTTGCACTTCTGTACCTACCCGTAGAGCACCGCCTCCCCTGTAAAAACTTTAATATCAATTTTTAAATAAAACAATTATTTTTTTGTAAAAATGAATAAACCATGAAACTTCTTATGGTCGGTAGCTAATCATGTGAATTCTATTTTTATCGGATAATGTGACTATTTTTTATTGGCCAATAAGAACAGGTAATACAAACAACTTCATAATGAAAATGATCGACAGAGACTCCACCCTTTGGGGGAAAAAATTATTTACGCGCGTAATAACACGTTTGCCATGGAAAATCAAAAATCATTCTTCGAAAGTCCTCTTTTCCGCTTCCTTGCTCAACCCGAAGTCTTATCCAAAAAAAGTTATATAACCTTGGAACATATATTCGCCCACTATCAAAAAGAATGGCCGAACAGTGAATATTTGAAAATATACGATGCGTTTTCGAAGGATCTGAATGATGCACTTGATACCAATTTTTATAATAAGGATATAATGAACATTTTGAGAAATATTAAGAATACTTGGAGTGTAAGTAAAATGTGCATTTTTGTCGTTCTGGCTTTGCATGCGAGGGTGGGGGGATAGGAAGGACTGCGGGTTGCTTTCACTTACGGGGACTGTGGGTTGCCTGTAAGTGCAAACTTGGGGACTGCGGGTTGCTCGAGTTTGTAAGTCTTGGGGACTGCGGGTTGCTCAAGACCCTATTTCACCACCACTTGCATTCTGTAACCGTTTTTGAAGCTGATCTACTACTAATTACTATCTTTTTGTTTGGGAGACATGGAAAAAAGAGAGACTTAAACATTTCCGTCATAACCAATTTGTAAGTAAGGTGCATTTTTAGACATTTTTTGATAAAAAAAGCTCACCCATAATTTTATTCTTTTTACAAGGATGTAAGCGTTACTAAATACCAAAAAAGTGTTGCCACAGTTGTTGAAGCAGAAACAAACAAGTGGGTTGAAGAAGCGATAAACAATGATCGTGATGATGTTTTAATATCCAATAAGAGACAAATTGATGTTAAAGACGTACCGGAAATGGTGCGCCCAGATGTAAGATACTCTTTGTTATAATAATGTTTGATGCAATCATTTTTTCCTATATTTTGGATTTTGGCATTTGCTACCTTTACATATATTTATTCACTTATATTTATCTGTCTACACATAATTAATAATCTTTGTTATTACAGGATGAGGTAGATATCTATAGCGATCAATTATACATCTGAAAAATTCTTTTTAAGAATTTTTTTTAATTTTCTATAGGAAGGGGAACATTCAAATAAATGGGATCTTAGACAGCGGAAAAAAGTAAATTATGCCGATGCTTCAAATTCTGATTTATCGGAAAATGATTCCATTTCTCGAGAAAGCACACCATGTCCTACAAATATTGTAACACCAAATATAGCCTTCAAAGCAGATGATAAATCGAATGGTAGGTTAATATATTCAGCTTTACAAAAGTTCAGAGACAGTCACAACATTCACATTCATGAGAATGCAAAAAACAAAGCGAGAAAAATTTTACCAAGTTTTGATAAGTTATTCTCTTCAGCTGACGTAAAGAATTTTATTGATGAATTAGAATTAAAAGACGAAAGAAGTGAATTTCAAAATGTGGCATCGGCAAGCACGTTACAAGCATTAGAGGTGAGTTTTAATGCAAACCTAGGAATGGTTATGAATAAAACATTGCAATAGAATTTCATTAGGAACATAGTTCGACCAGAAAAGCGATTGAAGATATACGCAATGTGAAAGAAGTTACTATCTCTGCTGATCATGAAGCTGGTCAGAATATTGAAAAAGTAATATTTTTGATGACAATTAATATACTTCTGTTCTATATCAAACAATTTGTTTTTGAGATCATACATTGATATCCCTTTTCTTCTATAGATCTCACCGTCTGAGAATGTTCGCAAGCGGTTATATTCCGAGACTGATGAGTTGTCTTCCTCTTCTGGCGAGCTTTCGGCTCATATAATGTCAGTAATGGAGAAGTATTGTAAAAAACAAACCACTTCGAAATTTGAGTAAGTTTTCTTAGATCAACTACAGATTACATTCATTGTATAATTTTAAATTTTGTTACTCTCATGCAGTTTGGCACACAGCTTTATTCTAGATCTTACATCCAAGTCAAAAATAGAAAGTGATTTTGAGCCAAAATTATGGGCTGAGCTCATAGCTGACCGACCTGTCACAGCCAAAGCTGGATATTATAAAGAAATTGAATCCATTTGCGATCATCTATTTGGTCCTCTTAGTAAAAAAGTAAGATATGTTTAGAAATTAGAGCATTTTTGTTACAAATATTTATGTTTTTTGTGATATTTATAGAAACAACCGAAACTTTATGGATCTCGTGATAAGTGGGAGAGTTTAAGAAATTTAAAGGCACCAGAATACAATGATGATTTCTCATACGAAAAGGAAGATTGGAAGAAGATTTTGTATTGGGCAGAACGCGCTGTTGGACCATTGTAAGTCTTTTTTTATGGTTTTAGATTATGTTGATATCATTATTTTAACTGTAATTTTTAGTCTTGATGCTTTTGAATCCGAAATTAACCCTATACAACAAAATGATTGTGGAGAAAGGGAGTGGTTCGGAGATTATATCATTCCTATATTTCAGGGAGCTCTGAAATTGAACGTTTCCTGTCGTGTTCCTTGGTAAGTTTTACATTGATTCACTTTTCCATTCTCAGTTCCAAGTATCTAAGTTTTCACGAATTATTTTTAGGGGGGAAGTCACAGTAATCGCAACCGCTCGAAGAAGAAATAAAGACAAAAATGTATTAGAACAACAGCTTGAACGGGGTCACCTAGCAGACTTATTGTGTAAAATCAATCAACAAGAAATCATTTGTGGGTTGAGCTGTGGTGGCCCTCATAAATATGATCTTACAAAGTGGGACTCTGATGAGTATCAACTTCCAAGAATGCTCAAAGACATGTTAGATGACATATTAGAAAAATTTCGAAGTAGAAATAGATGCACATCAAATCTTTATACTATCGGAATTCAGGTGAGATTGGTCTTAAGTCAATGGCTAGATGGTCTTGCATTGAATATTGAACATTGAATTTTGTTTTGGATCAGCAATACATGACAGAAATTCGAATATATATGATGGAAAAGCGTGGTGTATATCGACTTCATCTCTTAAAATCATTCAATTTACCTCTGTCTTATTCATCTTATGGTAACCTACGTCTTGCTCTTTCGTGGGCTTGGAATATCAAGGCATGCCTTATTTTTAACATTATTTATCTCCAGAGGATTACTGTCACATTGTCATATATTAATAAGTATTTCTTCTAGGGTCTTGCCCAAAAGCTATCATTTGAATTGGATGACAGATTTGTTCCATCTAGAACGCCCGAACGAGATCCACCTAATGAAATGAAAACTGATGCAACACCGGACAGATCAAAAAAGAAAAGAACTTGATGTAAAGGACTTTTAATAATAAATACTATTTCTATGACAACAATAATATTGCGCAATAAATGAATTCAATTCAGAAAATTTTATTGTGTTTCATAGTATTTAGTAATGACTAGATACCAAATATTAAATCTGAATTAACAATGAAAATAAGTGGGATTATGGTGTTTAGTTTGCTGTCTTAAATTGTTAGATGACAAAAAGAGCCATTATTATATAAAATTTTCGCTAAATTAATATTTTATTTTTAGTTGATAAAATAGATTGCGTGTATACACCAAAATTCTGGATAATACCAAACATTCCTTAAAATAATCCAGTTTTCTTCGCACAATTCTTTCTTGAGTTGATCCCGTGCTTGCTGTCGGACAAAACTATCGGGATCACCTCTGATATATTTTTCGTGTTGTGGCTCTTGAACCTCAATCACGAAACCATTATTATATAAACAAAAATAACAAGAACAATTATTACCTAATTAACGATTTGGTTGGTCTTATTCATCTATTTTCAATGGTGTGTCCCATCCTAATCTGATTGCGAGAGAATCATCTACTAACTTAGTAAAATCGAAGATCACAAAATTTCGATTTCGCAAATGTTTATCAGTCAGATTCTCACGAATTATCTTTGGTACAGCTTGATATTTCTGGCTTATATATATATATATGGATGAGATATTTTGATGTCAGTCACTAATAAAATATGGAATAATCCAATTTTGATTCAGCACAAAGATTCTTGATAACCACAACTGTATTTCTATCTGGAGAAAACTTAGTTTTATCTGATATTATTTATGAACTGTTCGCCAAAATCTGATAACTAGTTTGAATCAATCATTACTTTGGCTCAAAATTTTTACCAATCAATACAAGATCATTATTTTTGATATATCACTCACCTTTCTTCCCCTTGAACATGTGTTGCAATTTATTATCAAGTATAAGATTTATAATCATATTTGTTTTTTCACTATGTGAATAGGACATCATTGATAGTAGTTCTTTATCTTATTTAAATTTGTAATCCATATGTAACTCTTATTATATTTTCATTATAAAGAGATTTATTATTTATATAATTTGAAGAAAGATAATTTTTCATTTTTAATATGTGTAAAAACTTTTGCTGTTTCAATATTATAATAATTACATTTGAAATATCATGTATTTTTTGCTTTATATGATTAATTTGTAAATCATTCATGATTTATAATAGTCGTAAATTTCAAAAATAATTAAAAAACATAAAAATTCTAAAAATATTCATATAATAGTAAAATCATTTCATTTTTTCATATTTCACTTTTTATTTTACTTTTTCGTTATTTCACTTTTTATTATTTCACTTTTTTATTACTTTACTTTTTCATTATTTTATCTTTATATATATTATTTCACTTTTTCATTATTTTATTTTTATATATAATATTTTACTTTTATATAATTAGTTATTTTACTTTTATCTATTTAGTTTACTTTTTGTATTTTCAAAAAATATATAAATAGATGTCATCTAAATCTTAACTTGATATGTTATAACTAAAAATAAAAAACTCTCTTAATAAAAATCTTTTTCCAAATATCTTTCACCTTTTATTTTTTTTTATACACTTTAAATCTTGTATATAAATGATTTTATATTATATTGTACCTAACAAATCATTGATGACTTTATATTAGATTGTATTAAGCAAATTATTATTATTAACTTTGAATTTTATATCATATTGTATTAAACAAATTGTTGTTATTAGATTATTGAGCTTTATATCATATTATACTGAACAAATTGCTATATTAAAATTATTGAAATTGAATTTTAAGTATTTTAATTTTGTTATTTGAATTTTTGATTGTTAATAAATATTTCTTTCTCATAAGAAAAACAAAGTGAAAGAGTCTCTGTTATTATTATTACTAATTATATTATCTTAGCTTTGGAAAGCTTTATGCAAGTATAGAGAATTAGTCTTTTAATTTTTCTTTATTATTTTTTTATTCTTTTATATTCTCTTTTTTTTTTATCTTTATTCTTTTACAACTCTTCTATATTATTATTATCTTTTCAAATAAATACAATTTCTGTAAAAATTGATATAAATCTTAGATATCTCTCTTTTTTTTTAATATTTTTATCAATTTATTATTCTCTCTCAATTCAAGTTCAAGTTTGTAAGCTAATTTAATAATAGTGAATAAATTTGTAATAGTATACTACAATAAAAGATACTTATTATTTTTCATAATTGTAATTTGATTAATTTCTTCAAGAATAAGCTATTTATTACTATATATTTTGAATATTATATAGCTTTGCAAATCATTAATGATTTTTATTATATTTTCAAAATTTATCAAATATTCATTACTCTTATTAATAGTAATTTATTTAGTATCTTTAAGTATAAGATAATTGAATTTACAATGTAAATATAATATTTTATATTATTATGATATAAATATTTAGTTCTTATTTTATTAATTAATTTATATTATAGTTAAAGCTTGAAAAACTGATACTTGGAAAATTAATAAATACCAAAACTGATAATTTTTCTAATTCCCAAAATATGTATAATAAAATTTGCTCAGAAAATTAATATTTCATATAATATTACACAATTTTGATAACTGATATTATTTTGTCATATTCATATAAAAATTTAAGCTTGATATATTGATATAATCAATAGTAAAGCTTTATCTATTACACAATATTAGGTATTATAATATTATTAATTAATATTAATTAGAGATTATACCAATACAACTCTTCATATGATGTTGTAAAACTATAAACACAAAAATAAACATATTTTTAATCAACAAAAATCTGACATTTGCTCAAAAGTGTGAGATATGTGAAAAGTATTGCAAAAAATCAAAACCTTCTCAAACTGACTTAGTGATTGAGTATTGTGTAAGACAGAGTATTATCTTTAATATTCTATTAAATAAAAACAGATAGTTCTCAATAGATATAACTTTATTTGAAGTATGCAAGAAAAAAATTCATCAAACCTTTTTTTCAAGTTGAAAAAAGCTTTAGTTATATGAATTACTCAAGTATTGTAAGATAACTTAACCATCAATTAAGATATCATAAAGCAAAAAGCATGTATTTTTAGGGATATTCTTAAAATTCAAAACTTCAAAGCATCAAATGGATGACTAAATAAATTTAAAAAGAGATATCATATACATTTATATCTAAAATTAGGAGAAAGTCAAAGTGCACCAATAAAGATTTTGAATAAAAAATGTATTAAATTGCAAGAAATGATTAGTCAATACAATTTAAATGATACTTTTAATTACAATAAAATGTATAAGAGATATAATGCTTGTGATTTTAATTTAATTATATTAATATTTTGCTATTATTAGCTTTGTACTAACAGTTGAAGCCATCTAGAACTTTGGTAATGGCACCTATTACTGGTGTAAAAAAATTCAAGAATTACGTGATATTTTTTTATGTGTAATACCATGAACACTAAAAAATTATAATCATTATTTATTTATTACTTCAAAAATTCACAAGTTTTAAACATTATCAACAGAAACAAGTTATCAATAAACTATTATTAAAACAAGTTTGCTTGGATACAGATATCAATATTTAATAATGACTTGATTAAATTAAATAAAAAAATATGTCAGCAAAACTGAAATATTCTACTACTAATAGATAATGCGACTACTCATGCAATCACTGATTCTGAATATCTTACTCTTATAAAACTTTATTACTTACTCTCTTATACTATTTTACATCTATAGCTGTGTGATGCTGATATAATTCATGCATTCAAGGTAATTAAAGAATCTGCCATATTATTTTGTAATACTTTTTATTATCATCAATTTTCTGTATTATAGATTCAGTATCATAAATTACTAATAAGAAATCAAATTAAAATATATGATCAAGTGCATAAATTAGAAATATAATCTGTTCTTATCAATATTTATAATGCAATATATTATTGTGACGAAGCATAAAATGCTGTTATTAAAATAACTATTGTTGTATAATGACTTTTCGTCATAATATTTTATTGGATTATAAATATCTCATATCTTATTGGATAAAGATTATATCACGTGAAATGAGCGAACAAGCGAGCGAACA